GCTATGCTCCTCCTCCAATTGGGGTGATCTGTCTACCACGCTGACGGGCCGCTGGGCCTGTTCTGCCGGCAGGTCTGCCTACCTTGCAGGCGCGGGCGGCAGCTCTGCTCTGCCCTTACTCCAATTGGGGTGACGTGTCTACCACGCCAGCGGGTCGCTGGGCCTGTTCCGGGTGCGGGAGGAGGCTCTGCTCTGCCCCTACTCCAATTGGGGTGATGTGACTACCACGCCGGCGGGTTGCTGGGACTCAAAATAACTAACTTTAAAAGTAACTATCAAAATGATTATGTGTACTGTGTCATGATGGTCTAAAATAATGTCCATTACAACTGAAAAGATTTTTATATGAAGTGATAGATTTAGTAAATATGAAAATGTTAATCATATGAGACCTGTGGAGAAAACTTTTGTTTTTCAAACTAAAAGCTAGACGGCAAAGAGACTATAATTATTAAGGAAACTATTAAAATCAAATATTCTCTAAAAATTTAAACAGTATGAATATAAGTAAAGTAGTGCAAATATAGCAACACTGGCAAGTTAGACCTCCGTATTTCAAACAATGAAAGAAGTTTATCTAATATTAGATAGTATTGCAACCTAAATACATTTTTCCTGACTCTTTCTATAACTCTTCAGATCTCAAAAAAAAGAAAAAAAATTAGCATCACCTAAGAGAAGACAAGCCATTATCACATCATTATCAAAACATAATTATTACTTAAAGCATAATAGCACACATTATCTTTCACCCACAGTTCTGTCAGACATCAAAAATACAAAGGAACTTCTTGGACTATACCCAAAAGACCTAAAAACAGCATACTACAGGAACACAGCCACATCAATGTTTATAGCAGCACAATTCACAATAGGTAGACTGTGGAACCAACCTATATGCCCTTCAATGGATGCATGGATAAAAAAAAAAAAATGTGGCATTTATACACAATGGAATATTACTCAGCACTAAAAAATAACAAGATCATGGCATCTGCAGGGTAATGGATGGCATTAGAGCAGATTATGCTAAGTGAAGTTAGCCAATCCCTAAAAAACAAATGCCGAATGTCTTCTCTGCTATGGGGGGGGGGGGTGACTCAAAATGGAGTAGGGAGGAAGAGCATGAGAAGATTACCACCAAATAGGGAAGAGACGTGGGAAGGAAAGGGAGGGAGAAGGGGAATTGCACTAAAGATGGAAGGAGACTCTCATCGTTATACAGAATACATGTATGATGATGTGAGGAGGACAAAAAAAAAGAAGTGTGTCACATTAGATTGGGTAGAGAGAAGTGATGGAAGGGGAGGGGAGGGGAAGGGGGAAAGCGAAGGACAGCAGAATAAAATAGACATTTATATATATATATATATATATATATATATATATATATATGAGACTGTATGACCAATATGATTCTGCAACCTGTACACTCAGAAAAATGAGAAATTATACCCCATATGATTCAAATGTATGCTATGTCAAGATCATTGTATGGTCATGTGTAACTAATTAAAACAAGTTAAAAAAACACAAAGGAAGAAGGGCTGGGGTTGTAACTTAAGAGGTTGAACACTTGCCTCCTATGCGTGAGGCACTGAGTTTGATCCTCAACACTACATAAAATAAATAAATAAAACAAAGATATTAAAAAAAATACAAAGGAAGAGAACAAAAACAGAAAACAAATTTCTCTATTCTGTGCCAGCACAATCAACTCTAACCACTCTGAGACAGGATGGACAAAACTTTATTGTTACATAAATAAAACACAAACTGCTCCTTTTAGCAGCATCATATTCAGCTATTATAGAATCTTCTAATCCAAAGCACAAAGGAAAATTATTGCMATTAATTATGATGCATCTCCTTTTTGCTTACTTATCTAATTTACTAAAAAGTAATAAATCTTTATTTTCTTAATTCAAAGAAAGTAGGTGCTTCTTAGATTACACTTATAATCACAATATTTTGTTATTCCAATTACTGCTTAATTTGAACATGCTTCTTACCCTTTATTAATCCTTAACCAGTAGTAAAAATTTAGAATTTATTAAAAATGCTTAAAAATCACACTCTCAATTACTCTTTAGGTGCAAAATCCGCAAAGAAATATAGCTTACCTCTTTCAGGGCTTTTAATAATCGAGGTCGTTTTTCTTCAACACTTTCCCTGGATTGCTGCTTAAGCTTTCTTAAAAGAGCTGTAACTAAAGTTGAAACGGGGRAAAAAAAATTAAAGTAATTTTTGCCAGGCTAGAAAACACAACTGGCTTATTTTACATACTGATTTTTCTAACCAGTTTAGAGTGAAGAGAAACTCTATGGGTTCCTGGGTTTCTTACCCACTGTGAGGTTTTTGTGACTTTCAAGGATTCTTTTATTCAGAATAACAACACTGGGGATTGAACCAACAGGCACTCTAACACTGAAATATATGCCCAGATGTTTTTATTTTATTTTTGAGACAGGGTCTCACTAAGTTGCCCAGGTTGGCCTCGAACTTGTGACCCTCCAGTCTCAGTCTCCCAAACTCCTGGTATTACAGGTGGGTGCCACCAGGCCCATCTATAAACAATATACTTTTAAATATGGTTCCTCAATTCTTTTTGTATAGTTTTCAATGTTCAAGTTCCTAAGTCATGAATAATTCACATATAATGTTACAGATTTAACTTCAAGGTTTGTAGTATGGAAAAATAACACTAAATGAAAAATATCTCAAATTCGTCACTTTGTATTTTTGGAATATTTATCAACAACAGTAATTCATATTGCTTACTCATCTGTCTATCTCCATAGCTGATGGCTTCTGCYAGAGGGCTCCATCCCTGAGCATTTTTCACCTTTACTGGAGCATTGTGAGCCAAAAGTAAATGGGCACATTCTGCAATAAAAGAATGGTAATAATCAAACATCATGTAATTTTAAAGATAAATTTTAAAGATAAATAAAAAACCATGTTGAAGTTTAATAAGTCAAATTAATACGAATAAATCTGTAAAATAGTATACTTTATAAAATTAAATAATTTTTAAAAATCCTATGTATCTAAACCAGATAATTTCAAATCTCCAGATTCAAAAGCACCATTCTACTACCTAAAAATAAATTGGATTGCTCTACAAAGCAAGTATTATGTTTCCTAATAATTTTTTCCCAGAATATTTTGAGAATGTTTCCATCCTCTAAAATATAAACTACAAACCTCAAGAATAAAGTACAAAAGTACAACCAAGTATCTACTACTGTATAAGACCAAAGAGAGGATTTGTACATCTATAATGTCAAATGCAAAGCTCGTTATTTCAAGGGGGGGAAAAAGTTCTCTTGAAAAAATGTAATCAGTAACATTTCCATAAAGCCTTATTTTTCAAGTTTTATAAATATTTTAGTTTGGAAAAAAACACCCAAAAAAGGGCAAAATGTTACATGATCATAAGGACAAATGTGGAAAGTTCTCTAAGTAATCAAAAGAAGTCTAAGCATAGATCTTTACAAAAGCTGGAAAAAAATTAAAAATTAAAGTGTATTAACAGGCAAAAAAAAAAAAAAACATTTAAAACTGAGACTCATAGTAAATTTAGGTAGTATAGCCATACTCATTCATTCAATCAAGTGCCTACTATATGGCGATCTTTAAYTACAAGGTTCTAGATATAAACAATGAAGAAGGGAAACAAGGTTTTGCTATCAGAAAGCTTATATCCTATGTCAGAAAATAAGTAAATTTAAAAAGAAAAAGAAAAAGAATATAAGATAAAAAATGCTTCAAAGGAAATAAAAACATTATGATAGTGTGGTATAGGAGGGCAAAAGGTGAATTTCAGAAGAATGGCACTCCATTAGCACTATTCCTAGTAATAGAAATAACACCTATACTAACAAGAAACTTCATTAGAATAAAATAAAAATAAATACAGAACTTTCAGAGGTGTTTTTAAGTAAAATATACATATAAGAATGTTTATTTGTTTATTTTAATATTTGTAGTAGTAAATATACTGAAAACAAAAATTTCCATTGTGGGATAATAATAAACCTATGTTGCAGTTATAATACTAGAGTAATATGCAGTAATTTTTAAAGAATCAAGTCATATCAAAAGAACAGAGGAGATTGCTTGAATGGTGAGTTACTGGTCAGATTTGAGAAACTGAGAACCAAAAACAATACTAACTACTAACTATTTAGAGTACATTGAAAGAAAAATAAACTGACAAAAAAAATTAAAAGGTGATGAATTTTTCTTTACACAATAATGTAATGCCAGCTTAATAAATGGTAAAAGTGGAAAATTAATATTAGAGCACCCAGTATAATAACTAATTTAGGAAAGAATCTCAATGAATTCTAAAGCAACTAAGTAAGAAATTATGTGCTGCAAAATAAGATATTCACATGGTATTAAAGTATCACCCCAAGACTATTTAATAATTACAATAAGAAAAATGCTCTTTTCTAGTGGATGTATCTAGAGATCCCTATGAAACAAGTGGGCAAATTTAGTAGCATTAATAGTGGAATAATCTAACACTATGTGTGTCCTAATGTGACACAATATAAAGTGGATTACATACCTGTGAAGTATTCTTTGCAGAAACATTTAATCTACACATGCCCCCAAAAGTTAATTTTCAATTTATAGAAAAGGCAGACACAAGTTAAATAACACTACAAGATAATCAGACAAATTCAAGATTAAGAACACTCTACAAGTCTACTGTATAAGACTTTTCAAAATGTTAGTCACAAAAGGGAGAAAAACAATGAATGATAGCAATGAGTGAGCCTCAGTGGGTCTTATTTCAATATAAAACATCTATAAAAGTCATTCTGGTAACAACTGGAGAAATTTGAATACATATTGGCTATGCGATATTATAACAATATTATTAATTTTCTTCCATGTAATAGTAATAACATGATTATGAAAGAGAATGTCCTTATTCCATATGCTAACATATGTAGGGATAAAATGAGATGATATCCACACTTAATTTTCAAACAGATAAATAATATATGAAACCCAAAGAAAGATACATCAAATATGATATAATATTGATGATTATTGAGACAATTAAAGAGTGTTTCACTATTCATTGTGATAATCTTTCAATTTTTTGCATTTAAGATTTTTCATAATAAAATGTTGAAAGAGAAAAATGACATAAAAAATGGTTTTTAAAAAATCAAAAAGAAATGAATTAAAACTATCCCAACAGAATTAAAGGATTTTTACAATGTATTACTAAATGATACAACTTACCTACTAAATACAAGGGCATTTTATAATCCCATTTTACTAAAATAAACAAAAATTACACACCTTGTGTGTTCAAACACATATGCATTAACCACATACAACAGTAAGCATGGCCAACAACAACAAAAAAAAGTGAAAGAATATATAACAAGTTTTAACATGGGTTATCATTTTAATTGGGAGAAGGGTAGGTTAGTGAGGAAAAAGAATGATGAAGAGTCAAACTAAAAAGAATTTTAAAAAATAAAAATAAAAGGGTCCCCCCACAACAGACCTACTACTGGGTTTTATTTAGTCATGTGTATATGTATTACAGAAAAAGATAAGGTTCATGTACGTATGATATATCAAAATACAATCTATTGTCATATATATCTAAAAATATCAAAAAAAGACAAGGGACTGCAAACATGGAAGATATCCATGGATTTGTAGGGACAGCTCATAACAGAACTGAGTAAAAAAAAAATTACAATAAGTTTCTAATGTAGTGATTCTTTCTCAGTGAATGCAAACTAAACCCCTTTGTTATAAATAAGGAGTGTAGGGTGTGAAGGATACCCTCAGGCCATAAATATTAATTACCTTGGAAAAAGAAGATGCTCTTATAATTTTRTACTGTATTATTTCAATTATTTCAATATGTGTGTTAATAACCAAACAATTATTAGCAAAATATTTTTAATTTTAAAATATTAAAAAGCAGGATACACAACAATAATTAAAGCAACATCCCAGTTGTATAAACTAAGGTATAGGATTACTGTAAGATTTATATATTATGCTAGACATGTCAACTATGTTTTCTAATATGCCACAGAACCTGTAGAAGCAGTGCCCTCCACTCACCAGCCATAAACCAATTGAGGAGCAACTAATGAAATCAGATAACCATGATATGCCAATTACCTATAAAATATTCTTACACATTTTTTTTTAAATTGGATAAAACAGGTAGTTAGCAACTAACTGGGCTTAAGAAATGCATACTGCCAGAAAGAATCCAGGATTTGAGGAATATAGACAAACTGAAATTACTAATGATAGAAATCACACAGAAACAAGCAAGAGCTATAAGGATGGTAAAATATACAAAGAATAGATAGATGGAATAGAATAGTTGGAAACATAACAGAAGATCTAGAGAGATCCTCATGAAAGTGAGAAGCTATTCTAATTCTAGACATTTAAAAAAATKAAAACTATACAAAAGTCTGAGAATGAATTAAAAGTTGAAGCAATGGGTTTAAAGAAACATTTTCTGATGTTTCTAACCCGATGGATGAGAATTTAAGATTTGTTTTTGATTTCATCTCCTAAAGATTTCTGAAATCTTCCCTAATAAAATATGATGTTGGGGCTAGGGTTGTGGCTCAGGGAGAGCTTGCCTCGAACATGTGAGGCACTGGGTTCAATCCTCAGCACCACATGAAAATAAATAAACAATAAAGATACTGTGTCCATCTACAACTAAAAAAAAAAAAAAAAATTTAATGTGTGATTTTTTTCATTTCCGCCCAAATCCATAGCTCAAAAACCTCCCAGGCAATATAGCCAACTTTAGTCAATGGACCTAGAAATTTGATTCTAACCAAAAGGATAAGAATTAAAGACTAGTTTTCAATTTTTATCTCCTAAAGATTTCTGAAATCTTCCTTAATTAAATATGTTCTTTATTTCCACTCAAATTCATAATTTAGAAACCTCCCAGACAACACAGCCAACTTTAAAGACCCAGAAATTTTAAAAAATCAGACTTCCATGGTGAAAAAATAAGGTTATTCAGTATATCAAAGTGAACGAGAGAAGGGGAGTAAATAAAAATGTAAAAACCCTAATGTATCTATCTCTCCTTTCCTCAATCAACAAATAATTATCTGAATGGTTGGGGGGCTATATTTACAAATAAGTATATAAACAAAAAGTGATATCTCAAAAGGAGAAGATAAAAGAATAAGAGTGTTAAAAAATAAGAGTGTATAATAAAATAAAAGTGGTATAATATAAAAGAACTAAGAAAGTAGATGTTTTATCCTCTATTACACATTCCAACCTCATTCTTGTAGAACCCAATATCCAAAACATAAAAAGGCAATAAAGATAAAGACACAAAGGGAAGGAGGGGTGGCTGGGGGGGCAGGCAGGGGTTGGGGCTCAGTGATAGCACACTTTCCTGGCATGTGTGAGGTACTAGGTTCGGTTATCAGTACCGCATATAAATAAATAAATAMAATAAAAGTCTATCAACAACTAAAAAAAAAAGCACAAAGGGGCACACAACTGAAAAAATGTAAATGGATCTGTATATTATTTGTGGTGCCTATCCTACATGAAAAAGACTCAGAAAGAATAAATACCAACATTATTTGTACAACCTGAATCATCTAACCAAGTACTTCCTAAAATACATCCCATAGAACATTAGTCTTCTCCAGATGCTGAAAAAGAACAAACATGAAATAACTAGGAAACAATGACTAGTATAACTAATACTTGCTCCAACTTGGGACTTCACAATGACTATTGGCCTATTAGCATATCAAAATTATAACAAGTTCTACCAGAAAGAAAACTTAACTTTTAACTCTTTCTTTTTGTTTTTTTTGTTTGTTTGTTTGTTTTTTTTGGTACTAGGGATTGAACCCAGAGGCACTTAACCACTGAGCCACATCTCCAACCCTTTTTATTATCATTTTTTTTTAATAAGAGTCTTGATCCTCCTGCCTGAGCCTCCCAACCCACTGGATTTATAGGCATGCACCCCCATATCCAGCAAAAAATGCTAAACTTTTATTAGCCTGATATTTTTCAAATCAAGCTGACCTGGAAACTCTTTTCCTCTAATTGCCTAGTAATATCCCAAAAAACTAACGTTTAATGAAATGTATTTTAGAGAAGGTTAACATACATACACACCTATGATAGAGCATAACAGTACATACATCTAAAAGTAGAAAAACTATACCAGGGATGGTAGATAAGTTTCATTTCACATTCTAAAATAGCATCTGAACTGGCAAGCTGCATGCGAGCCTTCCCAAAGCTAAATTCTAATATTGACATAGACTATATACTTTTTTTAAAGAGAGAGAGAATTTTTTAATGTTTATTTTTCAGAACGGTGGACACAACATCTTTATTTTATTTTTATGTGGTGCTGAGGATTGAACCCAGCGCCCGGCACATGCTAGGCAAGTGCATTACCGCTTGAGCCACATCCCCAGCCCAACTATACACTTTTTCAGCGGTTCTGAGTGAAACGAGGGCAATGCAGTATACCATAAATAAAGGTTCAACATTCCAAGCTGAAGTCAAAATTCTGCTACTTTATTCTATACAAGTTGCTTAATTTCTTAGGGCTAATATTTGTCCCCTGGAAAATAAGGCAACATGGGATATGGTTGTGTAAGGGTTGTTAATATGTACAAAGTACTAGAAAAAAGTATCTGGCATATTATAAATAACAAATATACTTTAGTTATTTTCTAAAGTTTTGATCCAATGTTCTTTCAAAAAAAAAGTATAAGTTTTCTTTTCTTTTTTTAGAATTTAACCTTTTTTTTTTTCTTAAATGTGGTGCTGAGGATCAAACCCAGTGTGAGGCAAGTTCTCTACTATAGAGCTACAACCCCAGCCTACCATAAGTTTTTAATTGATCAAATTTAGTCAACTACATCTGATGTGTTTTCAGCAAGGTAGGTATATTAGAGATGTCTACCATGGCCTGCTTTGCCCATTTTCCTATTAAACACACTATCCTGATTTCCTCTCCTACCCCATCTCTCACTCCAAGTGAGCCTACCCAAAACTAAATTCACAGAATATCTATCTCAAAGCCAGATAATTCATGAGTTTGCCAGCATCCATTTCTTAATAGCTTGGCTTCAGATGAACTGGACCAGCAAACTCTTTGCTCAAAAATTTGGAAACCTAAGAAACCTAACAAGTTGGTGGTAAATACTGAACCTAAAAAGTCATTAAAACTTAGGATCCAGGGGCTGGGGATATGGCTTAAACGGTAGCACGCTTGCCTGGCATGCTTGCGGCCCTGGGTTCTGTCCTCAGCACCACATAAAAAATAAAAAATAAAGATGTTATGTCCACCAAAAATTAAAAGTAAATATTAAAAAATTCTCTCTCTCTCTCTTAAAAAAAAAAAAAAAAAACTTAGGATCCAAGGAAAGAAAGATATAAGATATGTAAAGACAGCAGATACACCATAAGAGACAGATGATAAACAGGGAAATGAGCAGATAGGAGAATGGCTGATCCCCAAAACACCTTGGTTCTTTATCTTGCTGAGACCTGGCTGGTCCCCATTTCTTAAGTTTCTATAATATATAGCATCTTATTATTATCTCTTTACTGAGAAGTTATAACTGAATCTGTAACTCATATAAGAAAAGTCATATTGAAGTTAAATATTTAAATCACCAATTAATATAGAATTAAAATCAAAATTAAATAATCCTACAGATCTTATGATTCACTTAAACATGTGATGAACTTAAAAACCAAACTAACAACAACAACAACAAAAAAAAAAAACCAAACTAATAGACTGAAGATATAGCTAGTGGTAAAGCACTTGCCAAGAACCATGCATAAGATGGCCCTGGGTTCAATCCCCAGTGTGTGTGTGTGTGTGTGTGTGTGTGTGTGTGTGTGTGTCTCACAAACACACACACACACACACACAAACACACACACAAACTAACAAAAGAACTTTAATTTTCAATTTAAAAAAACAGGTTCTAATAACAATCCTTAGGTCAGTGGGCATTGGTCAAATGTTTATACAGTTACATTACACCATATGACAATAAGAGATATTCATAACGATACTACTAAATAATTAAAAGGAAAAATGTTAAAAGAAATTCATTAGTCTGTTTAAAAATACAGAAAAAAATTTCCCCCAGTACTGGAGATTGAACCCAGGAGCACTCTACCATTAAGCTACACCCCAGTCCCTGTTTAAAAATTTTAGATAGGGTCTTGCTAAGCTGCCTAGGCGAGCCTGAAACTAAAGATCCTCATGCCTCAGACTCACAAATTGCTGGGGTTTTACCATGTGCCACCATGCCCAGATGCAAGAGTGTATTTTTAATAATATTTTCATCAAATATTTAAAGTTTTTAAATCTAGCATTCAGAAAATTGCCAATCGGCTATTTAGAATCCTCACTTTCCAAAATAACTGGGAATCCAGGTAATGGAAATGGCATTGCGTATAGGAATAATATACAGAAGTAGATTTTTTAAATCACCTGCCTACAAAGTATTTTTTTTAACTAAAAAACAAACATGTCTCAAGTTTTTACAATTATCTATCATAAAGAAGAATCAACTTCTGGAGTTTAGATATATAAAATGTTTCATATTAATGTTTTTATAATATATTAATTTTTATTATCTTAAATATGAATTTTCAAAATATTTACTATTACATTTAATATTTCATATTATATAAATTAATACTTATACTAATTATAAATTACTATTAGTTTTTACTAATTATAAATACTTAGTACTTTTATTAGRTATTTCAAGACATTAAAAGTTTTATAATATTTAATAAACCTTAATATTTGGAAATAGGAGTCTTCTAAAATTATAAATACCTGCTTGATAAAGTAACTCAGGGAAAGAAAGTTTTATTTGTTTTTTTTCAGAGTTGAGGATTTAACCTGGGGTCTTGCACATGCTAGGCAAGCACTCTGTCACTGAGCCACATCCCCAGCAGAAAGAAAGATTTAAGTGACATGAAGGTTAGTACAAGACTTCTCTTTTTAAAAAGGACTATAAAAAGTGGAAAAAAAATATTAACCTTAATATGTTAAATCCTAAGCTCAAATACAAGAAAATCAAGTTAATTTTTTAAAAACTCAAGTGACAAAACTGAAAATTTTAAACTGCCTTCACAAGTGAAGAAAGTTAAACATAAAAAGAAAAATATTTACTAACCTTTATTTCCTAACATCACAGCAAGATGTAAAGGAGTGTTTCCTAAAATTAAAAAATAAATAAATAAATTAGAAGGTGTAACAACATAAGAAATTTCAATTAAAGTGATTTCAGCATCTTCAGAACAAAAATAAACCATCTGCGAAATACTGCTTAAATGGCACATTAAAAGTCAGAGAATGCCATGGTTTCTAAGCACCCTGCTCTACCCGGCCAAAAGGGGTACCTTTGAAATCTTTCAATCTTTCCAAATAGATGTCAGATTCTTTTTGCTGCTAATTTATCAYGCTTTCTTTATTCTTTGGAAACAATTTAAATATCTACTCATTCTTGGGGATAGAAATCTTCAGACACAAACCCAGTCCTCAAATTGTTCAGAACACTGCTACTAAGAAACTAATATGGTAATAAATAATAGCTATTATTTACCAGAATAGATGGAGGTATAGCATGACAAAGGAACGTAGGACGGAGCTCCTAACTTTCCCTATGCAGAACACTAAATATAGAAGGATGGACCACACTAAAATAAGCCTTAAAGAATGAATTAGAATGTGTACGTGAGCAAAAGTAACATTAACTAGCATTACAGTCTAAAACAAAATAATAATCTCCAAATCACAAACAAATGCAAGAACAGTTTGAAGAACAGTAAACAATGAAATTAGATGAGCAAAAGACAAAGCCTTAAAAGCTATGCTATACCCTATAGTTGGTATTATAAAATGACTGATTTAATTTTAAAATGATATGCCAAACAACACAGCATAAAAAGCTCTCGATTTTATAAAAGAAAACAAACCAATAGTAATAACTGAAAATAAAATTATTGAATTAAATTTATGTATATGAATTTTCAGATATTAGCAATTTTATAGAAGTCATATCATCAAGAATTCTGCCCAATAAAATAAGCTAAACATTTAAAGGGACCATACACAGGATGAAATAGACAATTACTTTTTCTAGGTAACATGCATGTGATTGATTGACACCAATATCTTAGCTTGATTAAACTTACCAAAATGATTAACACACACACCTTAGTTCCATAAAGGTAGAATGAAATGGGAACTGTTGGCAGAGTCAACAAGATACCATTTCAAGTGAAATTTAGAAAACAACACAAATGAATTTACTAAATTTAAATTCTAAGTTTTTTTATATAAACAAAACATGGAAATTACATGAATTACAGTAATCTCTTAATCTTAATTCTTAGGAATAAACAAATTAAAATTAGATTCAGGAATATAATTCACTTCATGTTTTTTAGATATAAGTTCAAATGTCCATTAGTGACTAGGCAAAAGATAACTTCTGCTTCTTCAGGATTTGACTCCCAAGCCAAGTATTCACACCTCAGAATTCTTCCTAGCCGAGATATGAAAACCACCATAGCACATACTGTTAATAATCATACATTGAAAAATGTTTCCAGAAAGGAAGTTTTGTTCATGATTTTACTTACGCAATGAGTCTTAATAGTTGCTTAATTATTTGTGTAAGCTGCATTTTTTTAAAAAAATTGGTCCTCACAAATTTTAGGCTCTTTTAGTGAGCTTTGGGTACCTCCTCAAAATAACATGTCATAATGTTAACAAAATTTACATGAGTAAGAGTAAATGTTCAGAACATTGAGTAAGAGTAAAAAGGACAAGGCAAATAAAAAAGTATTCCTGGCTTTATAAAAGTACTGTTGATTACTAGCTTAATATAGAATATTCAATAAAGAAAAGACTCATTGCAGATACTTTTTTTAAAGAGAGAGACAGAGAGAGRAAAAGAATTTTTAATATTTATTTTTTAGTTTTTGGCGGACACAACATCTTTGTTTGTATGTTGTGCTGAGGATCGAATGTGGGCACCACGCATGCTAGGCAAGCACGCTACAGCTTGAGCCACATCCCCAGCCCAAATTGCAGATACTTTTAAAAACAAAGTTAGCAAAACTGATTTCCTTGTCTTCCCATGTTGATACCAAATATGTATCTCCTCAAGAAACTAAAGAAACTCCCTATCTATAATTTTTTAAATCTCCTCCCCAAGAAAACTATAAGGTTAGGAACTTTTGATGGGAATTTTTTTGTATCAGGAACTCAGTAAAGCACAATTTTTCTACTACTAACATGTTCCATTCAATGAAAATGAAAATGCTTATGAACAATTTTAAAYATAGTCATCCATTCATAATAGATCGGGGTTCATCTGTGGGTCAGCTTAATAACTATTATTTGCCTTCAGGGCCTTCAGCATAATGCACAATAAGAAAAATAATCAACATGAGTATCAATTTCCCATGTGAGTGATCTTGAATAAGTTCCTCTTCCTCCTTTTCAAAATATTGAACCTCCTAAATTTGCATTTACATCTGTGACTATCTACCAAGAATAAAAAATAATCATAAAAAATAAACAACACTGTCGATTTAGTGCTAGAAACAAAAGCTTGCCAACTATGCCAAAAAATCAAAGCCTTTACATAGAATCATTCATTATTTCTATTGCCTCTTTAGGCTCTCATCATTTTATCTGCCTATCTATAACAACAACCTTRTAACCAGTTTCCCTGCCTCCAGTCTTACATCATTTCAATCTCTCTAAAGCAAAACTGGAATAATAATTATAAAATAAAAATTTGACCATGTTATATTTCCACTTATAAGACTATAAATACTCCATTTATCTTTAACATGATATACAAGCTTCTTAATGATAAGTCCTTACCTTCTTTTCTTCTCTTATTTTCCATACTATCATCTAAACTACACATATATTCCTCAATAAGCAAGGTTCTCATGGCTTTTATACATACTGTTAAACTCTCCTAAATGTAACATCTCCCTCTGCCTGATATATTAACACCTTCCACTCAAGGCTCACTCAAATATCACCTGTCTTCAGAAGAGCCTTTCTTGGCCTGTCCTAAGCAGTTAGATAACCTTCTGTTTTCCCAAACACCTCTACTTCTATTTACTATAATACTTTTCATACTAAACTGAACAATTTTTGTGTAAACATCTGTCTCCTTCATTAGGTGTAAATCTCAGGATGACCAGATATATATTTTCTTGATCTGTGTATAGCAAATGTTTCACATACAGCATCTAACATTCAAAAGATTGTCCAGAATTTGTGAATGAAAGAATGAGAAAAAAAACACTACAGCAATTAATCTTAGTAACATCATGTTACAGAACCAGATAATTAAAATGTGACAGATATTAACTTAGGCAAGAGTTGCAAACTCAAATATTTCCATAATTATGTAATTATGCAAAAGGTTGGGTGGGGTTTTTTTTCATTAATGTTTAGAAAGACTCTGAGAAAACTACCTGAGTCCAGAGTTTCCTTTTAGAGAACATTTTTATTATGAAATCATTCCTTAATAATTACAGCACACTTGGTGTTTCCTAATTCCTTTTCCCCCCAGTGGTGAGTGTTGAACTCAGGCCATTGTACATGCTAGGCATGCACTTCTATCATTGAGCTATATTCCAGCCCTCTAATTTAATTTGGTTCATTTATCAGAAAAAAAGGATCATTTATCAAAATTTTCATTTATTGGCATATTTTATACACAGTATCCTTTTATGATGCCTTAATGACATTAAAAGTTATACTTATAAGGTTCCTCTTTTCATTCCTGAAGTTATTTGAGCCTTCTTTTTATCTTAGTCTAAAGTTTATTAATTTTATTCATGTTTTCAAAGTGCAATATTTTGGCTTGGTTGTGCTGTACTTTGTTTTTCTAATTAAATTATTCCTGCTCTATTATTACTTACTTTCTTCTATTTCATTTGGGCTAAATGAACTAAAATTGAAAAATTAAGTTGTTCTTTTTCTTTTTTCGGCAGTACTGAGGATTGAACCCAGGGTTGCTCTACCACCAAACTACATTCCCAATCCTTGTATTTTTTAAGAAAGGGTCTTGCTAAATTGCGAGGCTACTGGGATTACAGGGTGTGTGTGCTTCTTTTTCTAGTTTCTCAGAATGGATTTGATCATTGGTTTTTTAGCCTTTTTCCTAATATCTTTATTTTTTAATTAATAATTTCTGACTTATTTGGCTTTGTAATCAGAGAACAGACTCACTATAATTTCAGTCCTTTGAAATATGCTAAGATTTGCTTTATAAACAAATCTGACCCTTTTGTAAATGCTTCATCCTTGAAAAATACATGTATATTGTAGTTACCGGGTACAATGTTTCATATAAATCTACTAGATCCAATTTAATTGTGTTACTCTTATATTTTATATCATTGATTCTTTTGTGTATGTTAATATCTTTTTCTCTTATAAAGAGAAATATTAAAATTCCCCAACTATTCATTGGGGGTTTCTATGACTTCTAACTCTACCAATTTTCATTTGATTTATTTTCAGGCCATGTTACTGAAAACTTAAAATCCTTGAATTTTCTTGACTAACTGAACCATTTTTCATTATAAGGCATCCACCATTTTCTCAGATATATTTTTTGCTTTAAAACCTATTCAGATATTAATACAGTTACATCAATTTTTTTAGATTGCAATGGATAGACTTTTCAGTCCTTTTTCTTTCAACTTCTCTGTATTGTTGTTTTAGCTATGTCTTCAGCTGCAAGTAATTGGGTATTATTTCAAGTAAGATGATATTTGTCTTTATTACTATACTTACTGGTATATTGGGGTTTTAAAATCTACCTACATGCTTGTGTTCGCTATTTATTTCACTTGTTCTACATTCCTTTTTCTCTTCCTGTCTTCCAGAATGATTATTTTTATTATTCCATTTTATTTTTGCATGTGCTGGATGGAATGTACACATTTTATTTTACTATTTGTCTATTAGTGATCCTACAATTGCACTGCCCAAGGTAGGTAGATATGGTTACCAAGCATTTGAAATACAGCTATTCCAACCTGAGATGTGACACAAATGGAATTTTAAAGACTTAGTATGAAAAACAAGAATGCAAAGTATCTCAAATAATGTTACACTGATTTTTACACTGACATTTGGATATATTTGGTTAAATATTAAAATCAATTTCAT